TGTGAGTGAGGATGAGTACGTGTGAGTGAGGATGTGTCCGTGTAGTGAGGATGTGTACGTGTGAGTGCGGATGTGTACGTGTGAGGGAGGATGTGTACGTGTGAGGGAGGATGTGTACCTGTGAGTGAGTGCGGATGTGTACGTGTGAGTGAGGATGTGTACGTGTGAGTGCGGATGTGTACGTGTGAGGGAGGATGTGTACCTGTGAGTGAGGATGTGTACGTGTGAGTGAGGATGTGTACGTGTGAGTGCGGATGTGTACGTGTGAGGGAGGATGTGTACGTGTGAGGGAGGATGTGTACTGTGTGAATTGCTATGTTTAGTACCAGAGATTCTCAGGACCCTGTTAGTGTCTCCACACTCAGGGTGATGGCTGAGGAGGCGCTGCATGTCCTGGGCTGCAGGGGACTGTCAGGCAGCTGGGTTCACGTCTAACCTATACACATGGTTCCCAGAATGCCGTCCAGCTGCACTGTCAGGACCTGGGGGCTGGTTAGGAACGCACATCCCCATGCCCATCCGTGTCTGCAAATCAGAAATTTGGGGGGTGGCCTTGCAACAGTCCCAGTCAGCGCTGTCTGTGGGGGAGCCACTAGCCACAGATAGCAGTTGAGCCCTTGAGATGGAGTGATTCTGAATTAGATGTACTGGAGGTATAAAATGCAGGCTGATGTCAAACTCACTAAGAAAAACAGTGCAAACTATCTAATCAATTTTAAAATGGAGTATGTGTTAGGAAGATATTTAGATGTACTGAGATACAGAAAATAATTTATTAAAATTAATTTCACTTGTTTCTTTTTACTTTTTTAACTTTAAAGTGACATATTGGTTCCCATTATATCTGGGATGGGCAAGGCTGCTCCGGGCAATTGTGACCCCTGCTGGACTGGGACTCTCTCCCCACACGCAGCACCCACCCTCCAAAGTGCTCCCAGGCCCCCAAGGGTCTCTGCCTCCCGAATGTTCCGATGCCCCTGGCAACTGTCACCCCTGGCAACTGTCACCCCTGGCAACTGTCAGTGTAAGAGTTTATTGTAAGAGTTGATTAGAGTTTATCTGAGCCAAACAGAGGGCACGCCTGGAAGCAAGACCTGGACAGACTGAGAAAATGCTCCCAGCAGGAGATTTTCGGCTGCATTTGTGCTCATGGAATTAGGAAGCCACACGGGAGGCTGCGTGGAGGGGGAGGGAGCAAGGCGGTCAGTGACAGGACAGTCAGGCTCCACTGTCCTGAGGGCGTGCCCTTGAGGGGCCTGCGGGGAGGCATTTCAAAGGTGTTGCCCTGGGTGCCCAGAAACGGGGCGGGGCCTGCTTAGGACAAAGGTCAGCCTGTCACTGAAGCAGTCAGGGGCCTGGGAGTGACACCCACCATGGCCCGCCCAGCTGGGATTTGTGAGCCCATCACCTGGGAGGCCACGCCCGGTCACTGGACTGGCCAGAGTTGGAACAGAGCCCCCAATACCAGCATTGCTGTCCTGCTGCTGCTTGTGCTAAAGGCCTCTTTCCCTCAGTAAAGTGTTTCCAAGAAATACCAGCTGTTGCACATTTATGCTGCACCAAACACGGATAAATATTAACCAACCTACCATCACAACAACCACCTATTCTAGCTAATATTATTATTTGCATTTTACGGAAGAAGAAATAAATTGACTAGAGAGTCCATAACTAGTCAGAGGTCACAGCTAGTCACTGAGAGAACCACGCCTGGAGCCCAGCCTGGCTGGTTAGCCACTCCCTTCACCTGCAAAGCAAGCCCCTGGAAGGAGGCAGACTGAGCAGACACGCCGCGACTCTGCCCCTCACGCCAGCATCCAGCTGTGGCACATCCAGCTGTGCCGACACCTGCCACGTGCTTGGCCTCTGTGCCTCGTCCCCTTGCCTGTAGACAGGTGACTAGCGTTGCTGCGAGGTGATGAGATGGGCAGGTAACTGAACCAACCTGTTCGCAGCTACGCCCTCTGCGTGAGGCGTGGTGGTTCCTGGCCCCGCTGTCCTGCACTCGTGCGCTCTGCCACAGCCCACGCCAGGAGCTGCTTTAGCACACTTGGGTGAGGTCAGTCCTTTTTATATATATTTTGTTTAATTTGATATTTTTATTGATTTGATTTATTAAGGGAGAGGGAGATAGAAACATCAATGATGAGAGAGAAACATTGATCAGCTGCCTCCTGCACACCCCTCAATGGGGATCGAGCCCACAACCCGGGCATGTGCCTGGACCAGGAATTGAACTATGACCTCTGGGTTCATAGGTCGATGCTCAACCACTGAGCTACGCCTGCTGAGCTGGGTAAGGTCAATTCTTGATAGACTTCATGGACTCCCAAGATGGTTAATCCCTCCCCTGTGCAATTATTTGCATGAGTAAGTCAGATGGTTTGCAAGCATTTTATATTATTTCATTTCACCAGCAACCCCTCATTTGGACAGATGGGGACCTAAGGCCTTTCGAGGGACTTGGTCACAGCCACACAGCCAGCCTCTGCTTCTCATACTCACCTGGGTTGGCACCACCTTTATGAATCATCCCCTAAATGCACACTAACTGTGGCCATCTCCCAAGAAGGCACTCGGGATGACGGCCGCGCTGCGGAGGCCTCGGTCACTGTCCAGCATTATCTGGGCCTCAGCTCTGCTTAGTGGCCCCCTTGGCTGAGAGGGTAGACGCCACAGTGTGCGAGGGGGAAACGCCCGTTAGGGGTCAGAGGACCCCGCGTCTAGGCCTGGCTCAGGCTCCCCCGCAGGGGCCTCGGGCTGACCTGTCAGTAAAGACCGTGTGGTCTCCTCTGCAGTCAAGGGTGTCAGGAAAGCATTGCTGAGTCCTTCCCCTCCACGGACTTGGCTTCCCAATGTCTGTCCACCGTGGGGCATAGGACCCAGACTTCCCTGTGGAAGCAGGAAAAAGGGAGTGTGTCCCTTCTCTCCCCCACTTTCCTGGGAGCAGGGGCCATGGTTGGTGGACTGTCCCCTTCTCTCTCCCCCTTTCCCGGGAGCAGGGGCCATGGTTGGTGGACTATCCATTCTCTCCCCCCACCTTTCCTGGGAGCAGGGGCCATGGTTGGTGGACTGTCCCTTCTCTCCCCCCACTTTCCTGGGAGCAGGGGCCATGGTTGGTGGACTGTCCCCTTCTCCCTCCCCCCCTTTCCCGGGAGCAGGGGCCATGGTTGGTGGACTATCCATTCTCTCCCCCCACCTTTCCTGGGAGCAGGGGCCATGGTTGGTGGACTGTCCCTTCTCTCCCCCCCCTTTCCCGGGAGCAGGGGCCATGGGGGTGGACT